ACGGAGGAAGAGGTGGGGTTTAGGGCCGGTGTAGGTACGGAAGAGGGATTGTTCCACGTAACCTACAAAGAGGCAGGCGTAGCTTGGGCCCATGCGGGTACCCATGGCTACAAGTTTCAAAATCTCCCCTCCCCCTACCGCATCCCAAAACCAGTCCAGCTCGTCCCTGCCTCCCTAACCTGTTCTTCCTCCCACCTATCCCCTCCTCCCACCTCAAGCCACACCTCCATCTCCTACCGACCAACCTCATCCCGCCCCCTTGACCTGTCCGTCCTCCCTGGACTGACCTATCCCCTTCCTAACTCCCCACCTACACTCACCTTTACTGGCCCCATCCCCGCCTCTTCGACCTGTTTGTTTCCTCTCCACCTATCCTCTCCTCTATCCATCTTCTATCCGCCTCCCACTCTCTCCCTATTTATTTCAGAAGCCCCTTCCCCTCCCCCTTTTCTGATGAAGGGTCTAGGCCCGAAACGTCAGCCTCTCTGCTCCTATGATGCTGCTTGGCCTGCTGTGTTCATCCAGCCCTGCACCTTGTTGTCTCAAATAATACAACATGTCATTTCTGTCTCTCCTGCCATGTAACCTTCTGCAGCAACTAACAGCATGGTAATGTTTTCAGAGATTGATTCTGACTTATGTGGGAAGCCCCCAGCAAAATAACGCATCAAAAACACTTGAAGGAAACAGGATGTGTGTACACTTTACTGGCTGCTAAAGTAATTTTGCTGCATGCGATCAAAGACTTAAACATCTTAACTCGAAACCTTTCTTAAGAGACTGATAATCAATTTTCCACTTTCCCATCCCTTAACCTTTTCCTAAAAATTTGGAATTCTCATGTTCACTGTAAGCTGTGTGTTTTTGGAGCCATGCAGTAACCTGGGGTTGGTACCTGAGATAGCATGTCCCCTTTAAGATGGTGTGTGTGCATGGCCAGATAAAAACCATGTCTTGAAATAAACAAGGTGGAGAAAGACTTAAAAGGGACATTGATTAAGGTAGTGTTTTACATCCCTTCTGCATTGTGCTCAGGGTGGTACTACAAGCCGAGGCTGTGAGTCTCCACAAGTAATTCAACCATCAAGGCAGCACAGCTAAAGCATATACTGTCTTCACCATGACTGCCTTAACAGCTACTAGGGAGCTGGGCTGGTTCCTATGCATTGATTTCTGGCCCTTTTCCATTGCTGAGAACAGCTAACTCTGTGGAGAAGCGGGTTGGTTCTGTGACTTGAGCTAGATCAGATTAAGGCATTAGATTTCCAGTTTAGTCAATCTGAAACTAGATTGAGAACAAAAACAGATGTTGCTGGAAAAGCTCAGCAAGTCTGGCAGCATCTGTGAAGAAAAAAATCAGAGTTAACATTTCGGGTCCAGTGAACCTTCCTCGGAGCTGGACCCTTCCTCACCGGACCCGAAACGTTAACTCTGATTTTTTTCTCCACAGATGCTGCCAGACTTGCTGAGCTTTTCCAGCAACTTCTGTTTTTGTTCCTGATTTACAGCATCCGCAGTTCTTTCGGTATTTAAACTAGATTGAATCTGGAGCCCTTTGAGTGGGGACAATCCAAAAATCCAGAATGCTTTCAATGGGGTAGTGGAGACAACTGGAAACAGGTAAAGTCAGGGGAACAACATGTTGAATCTAATTTTCTCCCTTTGTAATCCTGTAAGCATAGCTTCCTGCTGAAATTTCATAATTGGCCTTTACATGTGCATTTTTGCACTCTTCAAACAATACTGAGCTCTATGTGAAACATAAACATTGAGATGGCTGAGGGGGTAACCTGTTTCCTACAAATGAACCTTGTGCATAAAATGTGATACAGGCCCTTCAGAGTAACTGAGGCATTTATACATCCCTCTCAAGTGTATCACCTTTCATGTAAAATTCTTTCACTGCCGGCTGACTGTAACCACATCGAATCACTGGGAATCTATGTTTTTGTTTCCACTTTCTCTCACTTTTCAGAAAGTAGGTTGTGACAGGATCCTCGGCTCAAAGGCCAGAACAGATGTCTGCGGTGTTTGCGGAGGACGGAACGACTCCTGCATCCTGGTCCGGAGAGTTTACCGTTCAGCATTCCCCTCCTCTGGTGATTGCCCTGACATTCTCGATGGGTGAATGCCTTGTGTCTTGACTAAAACATGAGCTGGAATTGCCATCAGCGATGGTAGTCCGTAGTAACAGCACTGTGCCACAATGAGTATAAAATTGGGTTTTTACATTAAACTTTAAGTCATGCAACCTGCATTTCAGAATCTTTTCTTTCGACAGCTGCTGACTGACCTGCTGTGTTTCCAGTCTTTCTCATTATGTTTTCTTTCCAGAACAATGTAACTCTGTCTCCAGATTTTCATTGATTATCAGAACTGATCAATGATAATGATTATTAATCTCAGTCAGTCATCTCTGATCACCAAACTTTCAATAAATAATAACTTCAGATACCTAAAAGTAGTCCCTTCTTGCGTAAGGGTTACAGAGAGAAGGCAGGGAAATGAGGTTGAGAAACATATGAGGCATAATCAAGTGATGGAGCAGACTCAATTGGCCGAATGGCCTAATTCTGCTCCTATATCTCATGGTCTTATAATCTTTGTCCTCTTTTAAATTTATCACTTATTTAAGAGCTACACAATTTAAGAATTCGTCCCCCAGTATTTTTCAACTTCAGTCTTGAGATGATTGCCTGCAATATTTTCTTGTGACCTTTAAATTTCACTTATCAAATAATTCTCTTTATTATCTTATCAAAGGTATTATTCATTTTAAAAATATGAAATAAAAACTATCGAACAATCTACACTTTGTGTGTCCCTTGATAGAAAAGTTATAAATGGCATGGAGAGTGTTTAGGGTAGAATGCAAGAGGATTATTAAATGTCCTGATAGCTTTCTTAGATATAAGGAGGACCAACTGGAATTAGCTACAGTAGGGTGAAGAAGGCTATCAGAAAATTTAATAATGGTACATAAAATTAAGAAAAAATCAGATGGAGTAAGTAAATAAAGACCATTTCCAGTAGTTGGGACTGGCAATTTGAAATTTCCTAAAGACTGGGAAAAAAGAAATGGATACACTTCATTTTCTGAAAGTAAGGTGACCTGGAAAGGGTTATCAGAGATGAGTGGCTGAGATTAAAGACCAATTATTATTAGCCAGTTCTGATAATGGATGAAGATCTCATGGCAGAGTGCAATATTAGGTGTTTTGCTACAGAGAATGACTGAAGCAGAGATCTTATAAAGCAAAACTGGATAAATGTCAGCTGCAGAGAATATGTAGGGCAACAGAGAGAGATTGGGTGTTAGATCACTAACAAACAAACTGGGTGCAGGTATTGGCCCCTCAAACCTGCTCTATATTTCAATGAAATAATGGCTGGTCTGATTACTCCACGTTCCTGCCTACCTCTAATATTCTTTCACCTCCATGCTTATCAAGAATATATTCACCTACACTTTACAAATATTCAAGGACTCTGCTTTCACCACATTTTGAGGAAGAGGTCTGCAAAGACTCATGACCCTGCTGAAGAGAAAATGCTCCTCATTTCTCTCTTAAGTGGGTGATTCCTTAATTTGAAACAACGACCTAGATTCTAAATTCTCCCCTGAAAGTAAACATCCTTTCCATATCCATTTTGTCAAGACCCCTCAGGATCTTATATGTTTCAACCAAGTCAGCTTTTACCCATCAAAACTCCAGCAGGTGGAAGTCTGACCTGTCCAACCTTGCGTCATAACACAACGTGCCCATTCCAGGTATTAGTCTTGTAAATAGTCTCTAAACAAGACTACAAACGTCCTTCAGGGAAGGAAATCTGCCAAACTCATCTGGTGTGGCCTACATGTGACTCCAGACCCACAGCAATGTGGTTGACTCTGAACTGCCTTCTGAAATGGCCTAGCAAGCCACTCAGTTGTATCAAGTCTCAACAGAAAAATGATACTGAATAGATCACCTGGCGTTGGCCTAAGCACTAGAAAAAAATGGTAGAAACAGCCCGGTTGACCCTGCAAAGTCTTCCTTACTAACATCTGGGGTGGGGTTAGTGCCAAAATTGGGAGAGCTGTCTCACAGACTAGTCAAGCAACAGTCTGACATTGTCATACTCACAGAATCATACCTTACAGACAATGTCCCAGATACCACCGTCACCATCCCTGGATATGTCCCAACGGCAGGACAGACCCAGCAGGGGTGGCGGCACAGTGGTATACAGTTGGGAGGGAGTTGCTCTAGGAGCCCTCAACATTGACTCCGGACCCCATGAAGTCTTATGGCTTCAGGTTAAACATGGGCAATAAAACCTCCTGCTGATTATCACATACTGTCCTCCCTCGGCTGATGAATCGGTACTCCTCCATGTTGAACAACACTTGGAGGAAGCACTGAAGATGACAAGGGATATTAATGTCCACCACCAAGAGTGGCTTGGCAGCAGCGCTACTGATCAAGCTGATTGTGTCCTAAAGGACATGGCTACTAGAATGGGTCTGCAGCAGGAGGGAAAATCATACTTGACCTCGTCCTTACCAAATTGCTTCATTAATGACCTTCCCTCCACCATAAGGGAATATTTGCTGATAATTGCACAATGTTCAGCACCATTTGCGACTCCTCAGAAACTTAAGCAGTCCATGTTCAAATGCAACAAGATCTGGACAATATCTAGGCTTGGGATGAAAAGTGTCAAGTAACATCTGTGACTCATAAATGTCAACCAATGACCATCTCCAATAAGCGACAATCTGACCACCGTCCCTTGACATTCAATGGTATTACCATCACTGAGACCTCACTATCAACATCCTTGCGGTCACCATTGACTGGAAACTTAACTGGACTTGTCACATAAAGACAGTGGCTACAAAAATAGGTCATACACTAGGAATACTGTGGTGACTAACTTATCTCCTGACTCCCTTCTGAAGCCCATCATCGACAAGTCAGGAATGTGTTTGAATACTCCCTAATTGCCTGGATGAGTACAGCTCCAACAACACTCAGGAAGTTTGACACCATCCAGGACAAAGCAGCCCACATGATTAGCATCACATCCACAAGCATCCATTCCCTCCAGCGCAGACTCTCAGTACCAGCAGTGCTAAAATTCACAAAGATCCTTAGATAGCACCTTCCAAATCCAGGATCACTTCCATCTAGAAGGAGAGGCCAGCAGATGAATGGGAACACCACCACCTTCAAGTTCACTTCCAAGCCACTCATCATCCTGACTTGGAAATATATTGCTGCTACTTCACTGTCACTGGATGAAAATCCTGGAATTCCCTCCCTAATGGCATTGTGGGTCAACTGCAAGAGGACTGCAGTGGTTGAAGAAAGCAGCTCGAGGGCAACAAGGAACAGGCAATAAATGCTAGCCAGCCAGTGATGCCTATGTCCCATGAGTAAATTTTTTTAAAAATGAATATGCATCCTTCCTTAACATACTGTACACAGTATTCCAGATGTGGTCTCATAAATGCCAATTTTAAGTGAACCATCATTTCCCTGCTTTTTTTATTCCCCTCACAACGAAAGATAACATTCTATTAGCTTTCCCAATACTGGCTGCAGACCGATCTTGTGTGATATGTGCATTTGGACATCCGATCTCTGCAATCTCTTACCAATTAAATCATATACTTGATTTGTATTCTTACCAGCCAAAACAGTCAATTTCACACTTTCTCATATTATATAGCACTTTTAGTTTTGGCTCCCATTGCAGTGGGCCATCACAGATAGGATGGGCTGAAAAGCCTCTTTCTTCATTATAAACTTCTACATGGTACTCTGTAATTATATTCTAGATTTTTTGATCATATTCTATGATCACCCCAATAGAAATGTCACTTTTTAAACTTTAAATGTTTTACACAGTCCTGTAAATGTATATTTAATATTTGTTTTTAATGTTTCAAAATCTAAGTCATACTCCTGGTAATTGGTAATGAGTGTACTTTTTTCTAACTAATCTCAGGTTACTTTGGTTACAATAATGTAACTGTGATCCCAGCAGGAGCCACTAACATTAAAGTTACAGACAACAGCAGGAACTACCTAGGTAAGTCAACCTCTCAGCTACAAGAGTTCAAAGGTTACTGCAGTAATATATTGTCAAGTTAGCTGCTATTTCCTTTGTGCTAAGTTTGCTGATTTCTGCCAGTGTTGCATTAGTTATAATGAGTTAGCCAATTCTTGAGCATGGATAGATGATTTGTTAGCTAATAGAAGATGGGTAGCATGGTGGCTCAGAGGTTAGCACTGCTGCCTCACAGCACTAGGGACCTGTGTCCAATTCTAGCCTCAGGTGACTGTTTGTGTGGAGTTTGCATGCTCTCCCCATATCTGCGTGGGTTCCCTCTGGGTGCTCCAGTTTTCTCCCACAGTCTAAAGGTGTGCGGGTTAGGTGGATTGGCCATGCTAAATTGCCTGCAGAGTCCAGGGATGTGTAGGTTAGACAGATTAGCCATGAGAAATGCAGGGTGATAGGGTAGGGGGTGTTGAGTCTGGGTGGGATGCTTTTCGGAGAGTCAGTATGGTCTTGATGGGATGAATGGCCTGCTTCAATACTGTGGGGATTCTACGATTCTATATTTCAAAGGGAATGGAGTGAAAAAAAGGGGAAAGGTTGCTAAAACTGTACAAGGCACTAGCCAGAGCAAACAATACTAAGAATTGCTTTGATCCTCTTATCAACTGTCATTGGAGGTAGTCCAGAGAAGGTTCGCACGTTTATTCTGAGTGTGGAGGGATTGTCTTATGAGGAGATGTTGAGTAGTTTGGTTCTGTACTCATTACAGTTTAGAAGAATAAGAGATAACTTCATTGAAGCATATAGGATTCTTAGGAGACTTGACAGAGTAGATGCTTCCCCTGGTGAGAGAGTCTAAGACCAAAGGGCAGAATGTCAGAATAAGGGATTGCACATTTAAGACAGAGACGAGGAGGAATTTCTTCTCGCAGAAGTTAGTTAATGTGTGAAATTCTTTACTAGAGAGCTGTGGTGGGTGTGGCATTAAGTATATTCAAGGCTGAGATTCACAGTTTTATAATCAGTAAAAGAATCAATAGTTATGGCAGAAAAAAGGAGGATTATCAAATCAGCCATAATCTCATTGAATGGCAGAAAAGATTCAGTCAGCTTTGTGGCCTACTTTGGCTCCTTGTGATCTCCTAGCTGTAAGATATCTGACTCTTCACAGCTATCTGCCTAATCCAACACAGAAGTGGATGCCAAGTGTTCAGATGCAATGCCCCCATAGTCAAATAACAAAACACTCCAATACACCTTTCAGAATTATAATTAGAAATGATTGGATGCTGAGCCCAGCAAGGCCCAGCACAACCAAAGAAGGGTGACCAAAGTATGTTAAGTTTTAAAGGTGATCGTTAAAGAAAAGACGCAGACAGACAGATTTTGGGAAGGAATCCCAAAGGTTTTTTATTTCTTTATTCTTTCATGGGCTATGGAAGGCTAGCATTTGTTGCCCATCCCAAATTGCTCTGACTGAGTGCCATGCTAAGCCACTTCAGGGGGCACTTAAGAGTCAACCACATTGCTGTGGATATGGCATCACATGTGGGTCAGACCGAGTAAGGACTGCAGATTTCCCTCCATAAAGGACACTGAAGTGTAGGAGTCAAGATGACTGAAAGCATGGCCACAAATGGTAGGGTGAAAGGAGGCGGTAGCACAGTTATGGTAGGTTAGAAATAGAGTTCACAAGGACGATGTTAGAACGGAAGAATAGAAACTAAGCAATCCAGAGAAAGTTTGAAACAGAAATCATGAAAATTCTAATGGTGGCATTTCTTTGGAGAAATGCAGTTGTGTTCTGTTCCCTTGCCATAGTCATGTTACCGCTGATCTAGTTGCTTTCTGTTTAGAGAGAAAATTTATCAAAGCTTACGTGTGGAACTGCATTAACCACAGCCACTGTCCATTAAACACAGCAGGGGTCAGTGGCAGGAAAGGCTTCTATGACATTTTATGCCCACGGACCAGTGAAAACTCTGCCTGCAGTACAATTCTAGTGAACAACATCAACAATACATTTCCCGCATAGAGTACCTTGCCATCTGCATTTTGCAAAGTATCAGTGACTACACTTAAAAGCTAAATTACTAGCATTAAAGTTCCTTAGGATTTCCCAAAGAAACATAAGGCACCACATAAATACATTTTCTGTTACTACATATGTACTTTGCTAGGGTTTGCTAATGTCAAGGATGGGTAAATTTACCAAAATCAGTAAAATTAAACCTCTGGCTAAGATTCAAACCATATTCACTTACCCAAGGCTTAAAATCAAGCTGACACAGTTTCAACACATTCATAAACCTTGCTCACTTCATGTCTCACACCAACTTTCACTCAGTTATCACCCCAGTCCTCACCAGTCTCACCACCCCCCTTACCTTTTTTATTGTAAAATCTTCACCCTCACTTACAGTACCTTCAGAGTTTCACTTCACTTTGCCTCCACAACCTGGTCCAGCTCATGGTAGACCTCCTGCTTTCCAAACAAACTGGTAGAGCCTTCCTCTCTCACATCCTTCCACCTGGATTTTCTTTTCTAAATGTTTTCCCTTTGCAACACCAAACCTTCAAACCTCCTTAGAACCGACACCTTCAATAAGGTGTTGGGTTCAAAGATCAGGGCCACTATGCTGGGCCGAGGGTCAGGGCCACTTTGCTGGGGTTAAAAGTCAAGGTTCAGGGCTGCATGCTGAGGTCGAGGGTTGGAGTTATTATGCTGCCCAGGCTTAGGGCCACGTGCTGTGTTAAGAGTCAAGCTCGTGTGCTAGGGTTGAGGATCAGGGCCAATGTGTTCTGGTAGGGATCTGGGGAGCAAGGCCAGGAGCAGCAGTCTGGCCTGTGATTTCTGTACCTGCCCTTGCTTCTAACCACAATTTTTATCAACTCGTGCAGGTCCATTGTAAAGCATTTTAGATAATTTCACTCTTAGCTATGTCAGGATTTCTCCAGTCGTTAATGTTGATTAAATTCTAGTGGCCATGGCTCAATCTTATCTCGCCATCAAATGGTTGTGGATTCAAATCTCACTCCAGGACTTGAGCAGAAGACTCAAGGCTAACACTGCAATGCAACATTGAGGGAGTGCTGCACTGTCACAGGGGCTGTTTTGAATATTGCCTGTGGGTAGATGCGATGCACTAATTCAAAGAAGAGTAGAGGAGTTTTCCCCAGTGTGCTGGCCAAGATATAGCACTAAAGACAGATAACTAGGTCATTGCCACATTGTTGCTTGTGGGAGCTTACTGTGTTGTGTTTGCTAAATCACAATATTACTCACACTTTCAAGAGTATTTCACTGGCACTGATGATGCAATCCTATAGAAATACAAGCTTTCTAAAAAAATGTAAATGATATTTTAAAATACACATCAATTACTTAGCTGATAATACAGCATATTAGGTATTAAACGTGTTACCTAATAAATAATCAGCAGTTGGGGACAATGTGACATTGTGAACTGTGGTGCAGAGAGAGTGAAACAGTTTTCATTACTGAGGAAGAAAATACCTGACTTCTGTATGCTACACACTGGCAATATTACCATAAACCAGATTGAGAATTTAAACAACGTTTAAGCTTGAACTTCTGACCCTCTTTTGGTTAGGAATACAACGCTTAGCCACATGAGCTATCAGACCACCAGCTAAAGATCATGTTTTTTTAGGAAGCTGTAATTAGTAGTTTTGAAATACATATGATTAATAAGTCAAATTTCTTAATGCCAGGACAAAGGGGCTGTTGTGAGTACATTGCGGAGTTGTCAGCGAAATAAGTGATCATGTATTGTGCATTCCAAAGTCCAGCTCAGTTCCTCAAAAGTTCAGCAAAAGCTTCTGAAATAAGAGACAAGACTCAGGACTGGGAAGCTCTGCTGTTTAGAGTCAGAAGAAGCCCTGATAATAGAGGTAGTTCTCCTATAACACGATAGTTGCATTCTCATGTGAACTCACGCTATAGAAAGTCACCATAAAAAAATCATGTTATAGGGAAATTGCTATAGAAAACCGTTATACCTGTTTAGCAGAAAGTTGCATTATCCAAACAGCATCCACCATTCACCAGTCGTGTTACAGCCAGTTCGCTTTAATGAAACATGTGTTATAGCAGAACTATCTGTACTGGAGTCTACAACTGCTGGACCCCAGACTCTTCAATTCCGTCCCAAAGTCTTTCTGTGTCACTTCAATGTAGCTGGGTCAAAATCCTGGAACTCCGTCTCTAACTACACTGTGTACCTTTACCCCATACACTGCAGCTGTTCAAAAAGGCACCTCACTACCAGCTTCTCCAAACCAAATGAGATGGGCAACAAAGGCTGGCCTAGCCAACAAAACCCACATCCCATGAATGAATAAAAAAAACTCTCCTCCTTTAAGATGGTCCTGTAAAACTTTCTTTCCTCCTTTAAGATAGTCCTAAAAACCGACTTCCTTGACAAAGCACCTTTCATAATGTGGCTTGGTGCTTGATGTAGTTCTTGTGAAGTGCCATGTGATGTCTTGATACATTAAAGGCACTACATAAATGTGAATCAGAGATAGTAGGAACTGCAGATGCTGGAGAATCTGAGACAACAAGGTGCAGGGCTGGATGAACACAGCAGGCCAAGCAGCATCATAGGAGCAGAGAGGCTGACGTTTCGGGCCTAGACCCTTACCTATGATTACATTCAGTAGTTCCCAAGTTATTTTGATGTTGGACATTGTCTTCAACAATGGAACATAGATGAAAGACTAAGGCTAGCAGTACAGGATTAACCCCTGTGGTTTAGAAGAGTATGACTGAATTGTTCGAGGGATGAGAAACTTTAGTTCTGAGAATACATTGAAGAAGTTGGGATTGTTCACCTTGGAGAGAGGAAGGCTAAGAGGAGGAGTTTTCAAAATAACGTGTGAGTCAGATTGAGTCAACAAGGAGAAACTGTTGCTGCTTGTAAAAGGATAAAGAACAAATGGGGGATAAGGTGGGGGTTGGGGCTGGATCTGGGTGGGATGCTCTTAGATGCAGATTTGATGGGTTGAATGGCCTGTTTTTGCACTATAGGTATTCTATGAATACACAAACATAATGTCTGTCCCTATTGTTCTGGCTGAGTACTTCTTAACATGTTTCGGGTCATAATGACTCTCCCACTATTCAATATGCAATTCAGACTTGGGCTGGTCTTTGATTACTTTTGACCTTTGGTAACCTTGGACTTTACATTCCATCAGGCCTTGCTTGTGGAAACTGTTGAGGTAATTTTATGTTGGATCCAGTAGTTTAGGCCATTGGCTCTAAGTTCAAATTCCACCTCATATGATGACCATAACACAGCTAAAGAGGTCCAATATCAACCAGCAACCTTCTCAGCAGCAAGTGGCATGAGCTCCAGTCTTTAACTCGCAAGTAGAAGTGGAGGTTGCTTGGCAACTTAGCACAAAGCATAACACCCCATCACTAAATATTCAAAACTGTTTTAAGACTGATAGAGTCTTTGAAATTTAGTTATGTGAATCATAGAATCCCTACAGTGCAGATAGAGGCCATTCAGCCCATCAAGTTTGTGCCAATCCTCCAAAGAACATCCTAGCCCAAACCTCACCATATCACCGTAACCCCACATTTACCATTGGTAATCTACCTCGCCTGCACCTTTTAGGACTATGGGGCAATGCCACCGGTAAAATTTACAATCAAGAGTTCCCAGCTGGTAGTAAGTTACAAGGAGCAGGATGCAGAAAATGGAGTCTCTGATTTTGCATATAAAATCACAGCTAATGGCTGGGGATTCCCTGGATACATTTCCTACCAGATATGTTCTACATTGTGGGGAGCAGTCCTTTAATGTAGGCATTAGTTGACTGAGGTTTCAGATGAATTCCTTCTTTCTCTGGCTGATTTATCACAGGGGTCAGTGCTGGTTCCCTAATCTGTCTCATACTCTGCTGCCCTGATGTAAACAATCGCACTAAGCATTTTGTGGAGAGCGATAGAAGTTGTTTGTTTTCATTATTGGTTTCTGGTCCCTGTGCCTCCTGGGCAATGTCATTAGCTCTTCCCCTCTGATCTCTGTTTCTGAAAGTAAGTTGACAAAGCATCCAGTATAGTTAACTTAAAAACATTCCAAAGAAAACCTCAAAGGAACTACAGTGAGGGTACCAGAGTTGGGTTTCTTGTGAAGTAGGACAATAAGACCAGATTGACCCACCCTTCAGACTTGTAAGTCTAACATTTTAAAATACCCCACAACATAGTGGCCTTTACAGACAGCAGCCAATGCATCCTCTTAGGTGCTATCCTTGAATTGGTAGGAAAATAGAGTTGAGACCCCAACTATATCATTGTGAAAGGGCCAAATTCCTGCTCCTAGTTCCTGTATCATTGTGCTACATATCTGACATGCTTTATGTAATAGGAGTGCTGGGGTTATATCAAACCTATAGCTATGTCACTAACCCATTAAGATGCGGGTGCACGACTATGCTGTCAGTTTAAGAGTAGGTTTGAGGGTGGTTTTCACTTTTATCTGATGGTGATGGGCAGTGATGGTTTCAAAGTGTCAGTTTGTAGCCCTATTGTCCCAATAATGTTGGCTGTATTATGATAGAGGTCTGCTGACAGGGGACTCAAAATACTCGGCAATAATCTTGTTTTAATTTTGAGGTGGCATGACCCCAAATGCCATTTTGGGCAACATCAAGCCCAAATAGGTTCACCCCAGGCGTAAACTGTTCCATGGGAAATTAAAGCAAAGAGATCCACCAAACGCAGATGGTGAATTAAAGGATTTACTCACAGGATTGTACATTCAAAGAGAGGAAAAACACCGCAGATGCTGGAAGAAACCCAAAAGAAAAACGGAAATGGCTGGAGAAACTCAGCAGGTCAGGCAGCAGTCATGGAGAGAGAAGCAGAGTTAATGTTGCAGGTCTGGTGTGAGTCTTCTCCAGAACTGGTTGAACTCACCACCAAGACAATAAAATCTTTTTGCTGTGTCTGCACTCATGAGCATTTCCAGATCACTGCAATGCTCCAAGTGTGGAATATTTTTTTCATTCACATTGGTATGAATTGCTGGATCTCCTCAATTTGGACTGGGAATATATTAACAATTCCAAAAATGTAAAAGGCTACTTTACCTCAAGATTACTTCATTAGATTATCAGGTGTCACAAGTGGTCATAATCTATTAGTCCTTTCAAACAAAAGATTAATTCCACGCTCACTTGTTCCACATCAAGGGCTTCTCTGCATTATTATCTGGTAAAAGTTCGAACTTGGCTGACCAAGTCAGCAAAACAATGGCAGATGTTGAAAGCTTTTGGCGAGTTCTTGTCAGTAGAGTTTGAATTCATGATGGCTTCAGTGCAGCTTTAATGCACTTTCCAGTGATTTAAATACAAATGCAGTTAGGAAAAAGTATTTACAACTTTGTTTCACAAGCTGCAAGTATCCAATGTCTGGGATGGTGGAATGACGATGATTAAACATGCAATCTTCAGTTAAGATTTACCTGACAGCATGTGCAGATTCTGTCATGCAGCATTGAAATGTTCTGCTGGGAATAGACTTTCAATCATTATACCAGAGTATGGGCTGACAAACGACATGTTCTGCCTGGCATTTCTATGTTGGTTCAGTGACGTAAGTGGAATAATCTGAAATGAATGAAAACGTTTTCAGCACAGTAAATCTAAACCATGGTGAACCCCTTCTAAGTCAAGTGCATTACTCAGTTGGTCTACAAAATGAGATTAATTATCCCCATGGAAACAACTACAGGTTGGACCATCTGACCATCAGTTGTAGAATCGGGAATGATGAGTTCAAGTAGGGTGGATAGTCTTTTTGTGGGAGTGGGTGGTTTATCTTACAACTGAATTTCAAGAATCGTCAAATTTTCAACATATATATTAGAAAACTGTAATTCCTTCCCCCAAATAAATGTTCAAGGGATTAAGGAATAAGAACAGAACCTAAGTGCTGAAGAAACTCGAATAAAAACCGAAAGAACTGCAGGTGCTGTAAATCAGGAACAAAAACAAAGTTGCTGGAAAAGCTCAGCATGTCTGGCAGCATCTGTGAAGAAAAAAAGAGTTAACGTTTGAGGAAGGGTCACCGGGCCAGAAACGTTAATTCTGATTTTTCCTTCACAGATGCTGCCAGACCTGCTGAGCTTTTCCAGCAACTTTGTTTTTGTTGCTAATAAACTCGGCAGGTCTGGCAGCATCCATGGAGGGAGAAACAGAGTGAACATTTCAAGTCCAATACAATTTTCCTTCAGGATTCTGATGAAGGGTTCTGAATAAGGGTCATATCAGATTCGAAATGTTAAATCTCTCTCCACAGATGCTGGCAGACTTGCGTTCTGTTTTATTGCTTTTGTCTTTATTCAAGGTAGCCTGGCTTTAGATCAAAGAGTGCATCCTTTTGTATATAATTTCCACTTGGGGCCCCACTCTGAGACAAAACATTGCCAGGTATGTCCGAACTGTCCAGCTGTAGTGAAAGGCTTTGCACCAAACATATAAAGGTAAAAATGTAAAGTTGGCACAGTCCCAGTGGACCATAGAGTTACTTTCTCATTAGATAGAGTTTAATCCAAGGGTCATTACACCTTGCGTGAGGATCGAAGTTGAGAAGGCAGGACCTTTAAGGTAACCACAACGAGCATGTGCGTAACATCCAACCTCAGACAACCTCCACCTTGATTGGCATCTCCCCATTTCCTGACCCAGGTAAACCCTTCTGAGAAGGGGTTGGCAATTTCGTACAAGATTATGGACAGATTTTGTGCTATGGGCAAGGAAGCAAAGAAGACTTTTATTCCATCAGACTGCTCTTCGTTTAAGTCCATGACCCAAACGCTGCCCAATCCAATAGTGCGGCATATTATTGTTTGGGATACAGTGCTCATTTTTATTTTTATTCATTCATGGGATGATAGCATCATTGGCAAGGCCAACATGTATGTCCCGTCCCTAATTACCTAGAGGGCAGTTAAGAGTCAACCACATTGCTGTGGGTCTGGAGTCACATGTAGGCCAGACCATGTAAGGATGGCAGTTTCCTTCCCCAAAGGGCATTATTGAACGAGATGGGCTTTTCCGACAATTGACAATGTACTCATGGTCATCATCAGACTCTTTATTGCATAATTATGAATTATCGTACTTTTGATTGCATTGATTGTGGACATACATTTCCGATTATAATGATTCTTTATCTGCCTTCAGCCCTAATAAATGGCAAAAATCACTATGTGATCAATGGAAACTGGGTAATAGACTGGCCGGGAGAATATGATGTCGCTGGCACCAAAGTACTGTACAAGCGTTCTGCTAGTAACCACGAGACAATTGAGGCTACAGGACCAACAGCGGAGGACCTCCATGTGATGGTACAAATCTTCATGTAAAATGTGTGGTGAATGTTTCTCATGTTAAACGGATTTCTTCTTCATCTGTCATTATTTACGCCTTTCCTGCCAGTGGTATTTTCACAACGGGGAAATAACAGTATGAATGGAAGTGTGGATGGATTTTCATAGCTTTAAGTGATGTCCTGAATGAATGTCCAACAATTAAATATTGCCCCCACCTGCCACAGCAAGGGACTTTCCTTGCCGCACTAATATTTCTCAGACTGTCCTCTGTTGTCTTTCACAACTTAACAAGAGAAAATAAATGTTAACACACAACATGTTTACTTGAAGTCAATGCTCTCTCATCTCAAGGAATTGTAAAGAAACCAAGCCTGGCATGGTGGGCTGAGTGGCCTAATTCTGCACCGTAAGACTTCTGTGATTCTGGTTCAATCAAAGAAAGACAGAAAGCTTCACAAACAAATGTCATCCATTAAATCATACTTTCTCATTAATCCCATGAATGGTTTCTAGGCATGTAGAACCCTCCTGTTAACTATTTATAAACAAAATCATAAACACCTGCTTAAAGAAATTATATGTGACCTTATTCTAAATGCTGAACAAAGTACTTTTTTTTTGGGGTCAGATTTTTCCACATCCAGCCATTTTTTCTTCAAGAATAGGGCAGCGCAGAAGGACGCCATTTGGCCTTCTGCACTGCTGCTGGCTCTTTGAAAGAGACCCTGTTCTTTTTCTGTCACTCTGCATACATTTCCTTTTCAGGGACAGGGTGTTTCCATGGGAATGTGGCAGAGATTCGCAGTCCCATGGTAACAACACGACCAATCAGAGGCTGCCTGCTTGGTCAGAGAACTAAGATTGATGGTTAACAGCTCCAGCTGCATCACCACGCCAACAATGGCCCAATCGATCAGCACTGTCTAATCATTCTCTATAAATTGGTGTTCCTTTTCTAAGTCTGGTTTCTTGCGTCATGGTCCTAATGAATATAAGAGGAAAAGTTTTGACTTTGTGTCTCCAGTTAGCAATGTTTACGTTTGATTTTCACACTTTCTCACCAAAAGGAGGACGAATATTGATGAGGCATCTTGGATGACCTTGTAGAGGTTTATAAAACCATGAGGGGTGTGGATAGGGTGAATAGCCAAGGTCTTTATCCCAGGGTAGGCGAGTCCAAAACTAGAGGGTATAGGTTTAAGGTAAGAGGGGAAAGACATAAAAGGGATCTAAGGGGCAACTGTTTCATACAGAGGGTGAGGCATGTACAGAATGAGCTGCCAGAGGAAGCGGTGGAGGCTGGTACAATTACAACATTTAAAAGGCATCTGAATGGGTACATGAATAGGATGGGTTTAGAGGGATATGGGCTAACTGTACAATTCTATGACTTAACCAGTGGGAAAATAACAAACATGTTGTCTGGTGAAATGATCTTGCAACATTATTGTTTCAATAACCACCTCAGCTCAGTTGGTAATGCTCTCACCTCTTAATCAGGGAGATTTCTCTTCCAGGATGTGCATGCCACCAACGAGGCCAGCAGTGTATTCCCATCCCTAATTGCTCTTGAACAGGGTCACTTACAAGGGTATTGCAGGGAACAGTTCAAACTCAACCACATTACAGTGGGTTTGGAGTCACATGTAGGCCAGCCAAGATTTCCTTCCCTAAATGGGGTATTAACAAACCAGATTAGTTTTCACAATAATCAACATCATAACAATTTACCAAGACTAGTTTTATATTCCAGATGTATTAGTTGAATTTAAATTCCACCAGCTGCTGGGGTGGGATTTGAACACACGTTCCACGGTGTCTAGCCCGGTGACATTACTACGACACCATCGTGTTTATTTAACAACTTAAAGACAAAATTTTGGCTGCCATTCTAATGCAGTCCTAACAGTGCTGTACTGTCAACACTGCTGTCCTTTGGATGAGGCATTAATCAAGGTCCTGTCTAACCACTTGGCTGAATGGAGAAAATTATTTTACACATCATGACCTGAGCCACGTGCAAATTAACATAGAGGTAAGAAGATTAGGAAAGTAAACACATGGCTGAAGGAGTGGTGTGGGAAAGAAGATTCCATTTCGTGGTGCAGGAGGGAACTATACCATCAGCTCCATCTGAATTGATCTGGGACCAGGATCCTAGTGAAAAGGCTAAATAGGATGGACACAAGTACTTTGAACTAGTTGGAGGTGGGAGGACTCAGGAGACATTACTAAAGTTTCCAGAACAAATCAAATGACAAGAGTGTGGAAAGAGTCAGGGTCTAACTTCAGGTACAGCTGGTAAGGGGACAACTATGAGATGGTGGGGCGGAGGGGGGGAGGTGGGTGCAGTCAACGCAGGACTGAGGGTGTTTCACCTAAATGTACGCTGTATACAAAACAAGGTAAATGAGCTAGTAGCTAGACTGAAATTGGTGGGGACGCTAATGTGGACATTGCAGAAACTTGGCTGCAAGTGGATCAGACTGAGAACTCAATATCCTAGGATACACGTCCTGCTGAAAGGACAGGCAGATGGGCATCAGGGACTGGGTTGCCTTGTTAATAAGAAATCAACTTAAATTGCTCGCAAGAAAGGATATAGGATTTGAAGCCATGGAGTTGAGAAACCACTAAGGAAAAAAAATTCTAATGGGAATTATTTTAGAATAGAATAGAATCCCTACAGTGTGGAAATAGGCCCTTTGGCCCAACAAGTCCACACCGTACCTCAGAGCATCCCACCCAGATCCATCCCCCTATAGCCCACCTAGTCTACACATCCCTGCACACTACAGGCAATTTAGCATGGCCAATCCACCTAGCCTGCACATCTTTGGACTGTGGGAAGAAACCTGAGCACCCAGAGGAAACCCACACAGACACAGAGGGAATGTGCAAACTCCACACAGACAGTCGCCGGAGGACGGAATCAAACCTGGGTCCCTGGCACTGTGAGGCAGCAGTGCTAACCACTGAGCCACTGTGCCACCCATGGTGTACAGGCCTCCTGCATGTACAAGCCTCCTAACAGCTACAATTATATACAGGCCTCCTAGCAGTAGTCAGGATGTGGGGCAGATAATAAATCAGGTGATAGTAAGGAAGGCATTATTTTAATAACCATGGGGGACTTCAATATGTAGACAGACTAGGAAAATCAATTTGGGAGCAGATCCCAAAAAAGGAATTTGTGGAATATCTATGAGAGGTTTTTTGAAGCAGTTTCCACGAGGGAACAGGAAATTCTGGATTTGGTGACGTGGAATGGGACAAGCTTGAGGGCCTGCTTGTGATGCAGTGGTAGTCTCCCCACCTCTCAACTGAGAGACCAGGGTTCAAGTCCCACCTGCTCCAGAGATGTGTAATAACATCTTTGAACGGGCTGATTAGGAAAAATAAATGAGACAGACTGGATTAGGGAGTTTAAGATGAAGGAACCCCTAGGAGTCAGTAACCAAAATATGATAGAATTCACCATGCTGTTTGAGAGGGAGAAGCAGGAATCAGACATTATGGTATTACAATTGTAATTAAACTCAATTACAATTGAACAAAGGTAAATACAGAGCCATGAGGGAGGAGCTGGCCAGCAGGGGAGCTGAGCAGGGTAGTCAGTGGAGTAGCAATGGCAGGAGTTTCTGGGGGTGATTTAAGAGGCACAGCAGAAATTCATCCCGAGGAAGAAGAAATATTCTAAGGGAAGGACAAGGCAGCCATGGCCTACAGGGAAAGTCAGGGACAGCATAAAAGCAAAGGAAAAAGCATGCAATGTGGTGAAGATTAGTGGACATCCTAAGGATTAAGAAACTCTTAAGGGAGATGATGGCCTAGTGGTATTATCGCTGGACTGTTACTCTAGAGACCCAGATAATGTTCCAGTGAATTCAGGTTCAAATCCCACCACAGCAAATGGTGAAATTTGAAATCAATGAAAATATCTGGAATTAAGAGTCTCATGATGATCACAAATCCATTGCCCATTGTCAGGAAAAACCCATCTGGTTCACTAATGTCCTTTAGGGAAGGAAACTGCCGACCTTACCTGGTCTGGACTACATGTGACTCCAGACTCACAGCCATGTGGTTGACTCTGAACTGTCCTCTAGATGATTAGGGATGGACAATAAATACTGGCCAAGCCAGAGATGCCCTCATCCCATTGATGATTTTTTTAAAAATCAGCAGAGGACAACTAAAAAAGCATTAACGTGGAAGAAGATGAAATATGAAGGCAAGATAGCTGGTAATATAAAAGAAAATTGTAAGTGTTTTCAGATATATAAGATGTAAGAGAGGGGCAAGAGTGATGATTAGACCACTGGAAAACGAGACTGAAGAAGTAGTAATGGGGACACAGGAATGGGCAGAGGAATTGAACAGGTACTGTGCATCAGTCTTCACAGTGGCTGACACCAGTAGCAAACCAGATTTTCAAGAGAGTCCTGGGGCAGAGCAGGGTGTAGTGGCCATCACTAAGGAGAAGATGCTGGGGAAGCTGAAAGATATGAAAATTGATATTCGGACTAGTTGGAACTATACCCCAGAGTTCTGAAAGAGATAGTTGAGGAGATTGTAGAGGCGTTGGTGGAGATTTTTTTAGGAATCATTGGAGTCAGGGAGGATCCCAGAGGACTGAAATATGGCTAATGTAACATCCCTGTTTAAAAAGGCAGTTGAGGCAGAAGACAGGAAACCATAGGATGGTTAGCCTGACCTCGGTTGTTGGGAATGTTTTAGAGTCCATTGTTAAGGATGAAAGTGTGGAGTGCTTGGAAGTACGTGGTAAAATAGGACTGAGTCAGCAAGGTTTCATCAATGGGAGGTCATGCCTGACAAATATATTACAATTCTTTGAGGTGGTAACAAGCAAGTTAGACAAAGGAGAGCCGTGGCTGTGATGTATTTGGAATTCCAGAAGGCCTTTGACAAGGTGCCGCACAGATGGCTGCTAAATAAGATAAGAGCCCATGTGTTAAGGGCTGGCATGGATAGAGGATTGGCTGTCTGGCATAAGGCAGAGAGTGGGGATAAAGGATTCTTATTCAGGATGGCAGCCAGTGACTAGTGAGTTTCTGCAGGGGTCTGTGTTGGGACCATAGCTATTCACCTAATACATTAATGACCTGGACGAAAGAACTGAGGGCATTGTTTTTAAGGTTGCAGATGACACAAAGATAGGTGGAGAGACAGGTAGTGTTGAGCAAGTGTTTTCAGATATATAAGAAGGACTGCAGAAGGACTTGGACAGGTTAGGAGAGTGGGCAGAGAAGTGGCAGATGGAGTACAACATGGGAAAGTGTGAGGTTGTGCACCTTGGTGGGAAGAATAGAGGGATAAACTATTTTCTAAATGGGGAAAAGCTTCGGAAAAGCACAAAAGGACTTAGGAGTCCTAGTTTAGGATGCTCTTAAGGTTAACATGCAGGTTCAGTCAGCAGTTAGGAAGGCAAATGCATTTCTGAAGAAGGGTGTAAGCCCAAAACGTCAGCCTTCCTGCTCCTCTGATGCTGCTTGGCCTGCTGTGTTCATCTAGCTCTACACCTTGTTATCTCTTAAGGCAAATGCAATATCAGCATTCATTTCAAGAGGGCTAGAATACAGGAACAGAGATGTACTGATAAGGCTGTATGAGGCTCTGGTCAGACCGCATTTGGAATATTGTGGGTAGTTTTAGGCGCCATATCTAAGGAAGGCTGTGCTGGCCTTGGAGGGGGTGGGGAGGAGTTTTACAAGAATGATGCTGGGGATGAACAGCTTGTCAAATGAGGAATGGTTGAGGACGTTGGGTCTGTACGATAGAATTTAGAAAAATGAGGGGGTATCCGATTGAAACTTACAGAATATTGAGCAAAAAGAGTAGACGTGGAGTAGATGTTCCCATTGGTAGGAGAGACTAGGACCTAAGGATACAGCCTCAGAGTGAAGGGTCGATCCTTTAGAACTGGGATGAGGAGGAATTTCTTCAATCACTTGGATGTGTGGAACTCATTGCTGCAGAGATCTGTGGGAGCCAAGTCAAAGATAGATAGGTTCTTAATCAGAAAAGGGATCAAGGGTTATGGGGAGAAGGCAGGAGAATCAGGTTGAGAAACATGTCAGCCATGATCAATTGATAGCATAGACATTACAGGTTGAATGGCCTAATTCTGTTCCTATATTTTATGGTGGTCTTGTGATCTTATTTCAAGACAGGATGGTGACAAAGAGTGAAGGAGTTCTCTCTAGAATCCTGGTCAATTGTTATTCTCAAACAGTATCATTACATCTAATTAGTGATGATTTATCACTTTGTCACCTGTGGCATCTTGCTGTATGGAGATTAGTCACTGAGTTTCCTACATTACAACAATTATTGCAATCTGAAAGTATTTTATTGTCTGTAGAGCACTTTGGGATGATCTAAAGAAAAAGGCTTTATAAAGCAAGCCTTTCTTTCTTGTTTACATCAAAAAATTTTGGCCAATATTTTAACAATGGGTTTTTATCTCTTTATGGGTCTTTACCAAAGGAAATTAACACAAGACGAAATAACTCAGAATCACAGAAGCATTCCAGCACTGAACGAGGTCATTCTGTTCATCGTGCTTGTACCAGCCGTCTGAATAGTATAGTGATATGGTTTTCTTCTTTCCAACGAATCATGTAAAGCTCTCTTAAGTGCCATGACCAAACCTGCCCCCACCACATTTCCACGCTGTGCATTCCAGACCCTAATTGCTCAAAGAGTAGCTACAATCATCAGTGTAGTGCCAACCGTTTTCAATATAACAGTACGGGATACAGTGGTCACAATGGGATCTCACACTGAAAAAACTCAATGTATGTTACAGGTTCTTCTACAAGAGGAAAATTCAGGTATCGAATACGAGTTCTGGCTTCCGAATGAGCGCTACAGCCATTACCAGGGAGGACACAGTCCACTGAGGCAACCTGAGATCGCTGTTATAGAAGCTGACCATCCTCTCAGTTACCTGCCCTGGACACAGACCACAACAGCCACCACCACTACCACCGTCACCAGCCCTGTCAGAAATCCAGTCGTCCAACCAGGTATGACACCGCCGTTTGCTTAAACTCCTTACAATTGCTAGATTGATGGTGAATTTTCAACTTTATGAGCAAGGATATTCCAAAGCTGATCTTTCCCTCTTATTTATGTAAAATCGCTTCCCCCCCCCACCCCATGCCTCTCACATTTTTCTAAGCCATGACCCTGAATGGTCAACCTGATCTCTGCCACTGCTGTGCCAGTGCTTAACATTCAGAGACAAGGCAAAACTGACCGAGGTAGCTCCTCATAGGGCACTGTTTCACGCCCTCCCGCCCCCGATCAGTTTGAAGGCAGGGAGGGTAGATAATGCAGTGGGATAGCAGGTGAATGGTGACAATCCATCCCCAGTCTGATTAAGGCCATGGCAGGATTTTTCTTTTGTATTTATTCATGGGATGTGGGTGTTGCTGGCTGGGCTACCATTCATTACTCATTCCTGGCTGCCCTTGAGAAGGTAATGGTAAACTGCCTTCTTGCAGTCAATTTAGTGTCTGTAGATCCAGAATGCCATAAGGAGTTTGAAATTGTTTCAGAGATAGTAGGAACTGCAGATGCTGGAGAATCTGAGATAACAAGGTGTAGAGCTGGACGAACACAGCAGGCCAAGCAGCATCAGAGGAGCAGGAAAACTGACGTTTCGGGCCTAGACCCTTCA